AGTATCCAGGGTATAAAAGTCAGCGCATATATCAACTGAGCTAGCCTGACTATAAGAATGAATGGCATAAATTTAAAGCAGATTATGAAAATCTGGTTTCCTTATTTTTTGTAGGTTTTTTGTGAATTTCGACCCCAGGGCAGGGGTGCCCTTAAAAAAATATTATCTTAAATCATTCCTTACATCCTAATCTATCAAAATATCACAATTTTATTTAGGGGCAGGCCTGCCCTGATGGACTTCAAGGCCAAAATTCATGCAAAAATCAACGCTTTTAAGGACAAAATGGTGTTTCAATCAACTTTGGAGGTTTATTGTAAAGTTGTAAATAATAAATTTCAGGTATAAAATACAAATTTAAAAAATTTAGACATATATACGGTAGAAAACAACAAATAAAGATTGATTTTTAAATGTCATTTTTTCCGGGAAATTGTTCTCTCCTATAGGTCAATTCTTTTGTTAAAGCGAATACATCCTTTTTCATATCAAATCATTAATTGATCTATCATTAATCGATATCTAAACCATAAGATTCAACAATTTTTAACGCTGAAATTCACGAAATATAAAGAACAAACCATACAATGTGGTAGGGGTCAGCCGACTTTTGTGATCTATTAATAGTAAATCGAAAACGGTCATTCATTTCAAAGTTTTTGTTTACTATGAGCCTAACTTTGTATAAACTTGTGTGAATGGCAAAAGACGTATAATACATTTATAAAGCTTGTGTGAAAGTAGGAAATTTGCACACTATTAGGCTGGTACTTAAAATATTAATTTAGGAAGTTCTAAACACTGCACACTAAAAAGTTCTAATCTCTAGTTTTCAAGTTACGAAAATAAACCATGTCCAAAAATTTCTCTTTATGACATAAAAATATCTAAAATACAGAGGGCGGACCTTTTCTGATAACTGCGTTTTAAGGTCCGCCCTATTTCTTTCTCTAGTTTTCAAGCTACGAAAATAAACCCTGTCCAAAAATTTCTCTTTATGACATAAAAATATCTAAAATACAGAGGACGGACCTTTTCTGATAACTACGTTTTAAGGTCCGCCCTGTCTATTTTTCTAGTTTTCAAGCTACGAAAATAAACCCTGTCCAAAAATTTCTCTTTATGACATGAATATATCTGAAATACAGAGGGCGGACCTTTTCTGGTAATAACGTTTTAAGGTCCGCCCTGTCTCTTTCCCTAGTTTTTTAAGCTACGAAAATAAACTCTGTCCAAAAACTTCCCTTTATAACATAAAAATATCTGAAATACAGAGGGCGGACTTCTGAAATACAGAGGGCGGACTTTTTCTGATAACTGCTTTTTAAGGTCCGCCCTATTCCTTTGTCTAGTTTTCAAGCTACGAAAATAAACCCTGTCTAAAATTTTCCCTTTATAGTATAAAAATATCTGGAATACAGAGGGAGGACCTTTTCTGATAACTGCGTTTTAAGGATCCGCCCTGTCTATTTTTTTTAGTTTTCAAGCTACGAAAATAAACCCTGTCCAAAAATTTCTCTTTCTTCTATAAAAATATCTGAAATACAGAGGGCGGATTTTAAACAATAACTGCGTTTTACGGTCCGCCCATGGATTTCTTTCTCAGTTTTCAAGCTACGAAAATAAACCCTGTCCAAAAATTTCCCTTTATAACATAAAAATATCTGAAAAACAAAAGCCAAAGACCTTTTCTGATAACTGCGTTAATTGAGTGATTATTTGTTTTTATTTTCAATTTCAAAATAAACCCTGTCCAAAAATTTCCCTTTTTAACATAAAAATATTCTGAAATACAGAGGACGGATTATCCTTTTCTGATAACTGCGTTTTATTGTTACGCCAATACTGTCTATTTTTCTAGTTTTCAAGCTACGAAAATAAACCCAGTCCGAAAATTTCCCTTTATGACATGAATATATCTGAAATACAGAGGGCGGACCTTTTCTGATAACTGCGTTTTAAGGTCCGCCCTGTCTATTTTTTTTAGTTTTCAAGCTACGAAAATAAACCCAGTCCAAAAATTTCCCTTTATGACATGAAGATATATAAAATGCGTTTAAAAACTTTAAAGTCATATAAGGCGTTTTTTTATATATATAAGTTCAGACTAAAAATATAAAAAAAAGATCTTTCTATTTGTTTTGGTACTTTATATACCACTGTAAAGATAGGACCGCTGCATTTCATTTCCGGAAATCGGCATGGCATTTCCGCCATTTCTTTTTTTCATTTCCGACAATTTGTCTTCTCTTTTCTGACATTTATTTCTTTTCATTTCTGGAATTTTTGCAAGGTACCTCTCCGGCAATTTAATGATTACCAAGTACATGTATGTAGAATGGAATTTTGAAAGAATTTATTATACACAACATTTTAATATAAAAGTTCTATATACATGTATATACATCTGTACATGAAGCACTAAGTCTAGTTCATAGAGTTTAATGAGCATGCAATTTTTTCATCGCATTTAATGTTCACTACATTAAATGTCAAAGACTGCGCCGAACATTGATTTACTAAACAGTCTATAATTTATTCTTTAAATTTTTTCATTACCAGAAAGCACTAAATTCCTGAAAAATGTCGGAGATGAACACTTTAGAATGTCGAAAATGAAAGCTTAAAATGTCGGAAATAAAAAGTTTAATATTTCAACACCAAAAAAATCAAACAATTTAAATCAATCGCGTTTCATAGATATCCGAGATTTAAAACAATGGCCGATTCTTATCGACTCGGAATTTAAATATCAGACACAGTTTTAATTCTTTTAGTTTAAATTTAACTAATAGAAACGTGGGGATATTTAAGTTCAATATCGGTGAAATTTTTAATTTGAACAAAAAACCCAAACTCATGTACATCTACGCTTAATCTTGTATTTTTAATTTTTAGCTCAGATACGCCATATTTAGCTTTAAATATTGAAATAAAGATTATACATGTATGGTTATAATTATTAAAAATGTCGCAGTTTTGAAGTGTACGCCTGAATATTTGGTTCCTTGGCATAATTTATTAATTAAAAATAAGATCTATTAATATGTAAAGCTAACACATGACCATTAGGTTCACCGACCATTCAATGACAGCGCCATCTGCCGAGGGCTCTACCTGTGGGTACGGTGGGTACCTGTCAGGTAAACAAATACGTCACACACCCATTGTTTTATTAGCTATACACATCGGCAGATTTCACACCTTTAATCGTACTAATTTACAAAAAACAAATTCTAAGGAAAAACAAACACCTGCAAAACAATTGTGGCACGATTTTTAAAGAAATCATGGCCCTAAACGGCACTGCTTAAAGCACACTATACGAGTAGATTCTTGTCTAGAGATACTTGTATGTTGTACAAAAAATAAAACACAACAGGGTTAATCCTTCTTTCATATATAGTATAAACAAACTACCCGGTAGCCTTAATTTCATATGTTAAAGTCAAGATTAAAACATTTTGCACCACCCGGACCTTAAAACGCAGGGGGACCATTTCTTATACGGACCGGACCTTTTCTTATAAAAGGCGGACCAAATATGATATCGTATTAGGTCCGGCCGGACTTTAAACGAGGCGGACCAAATATTATGCGACACCTGACGCATTTCATAGCGGTCCGGATTTCTTTCTTTATTAGTGTTCTTAAAAATTTCCAATTCATCATGTAATTAAGTACATGTAATTAAGTATGTAAATATCTAGTGTTTAGTAGTTTAGTAGTAGTGCTAGTTGTTTTTGTTTCTCTTTTTCCTTTGTTCTTATGACTTTTTAACTTTTTTCTTTGTCCTGAGGAAGGGACAGGGCGTCCCGAAAATTTGACATTTTTTATTGTTCGTGTCGTTGGTCATTTTTAGTGCTTTATATATATATATATATATATATATATATATATATATATATATATATATATATATATATGCCGTCATCGCCTGCATATAAGATTTATGTCTCTAAAACAAGGTAAATTATTGACAAACAAGTTATTGAAACAAGAATATCTGCAGTCTCGTTTAAAGTCATCATTTCGTAAGTTCTTTGGTTGAGACAATGACCTTGTCTGCAAATACAATTTTTCCATTAAGATATATGCTGACTGATGCTTTTATACATGTACTTAGTGTGAGGCCATTATATACACACTGAATTGTCGAAGGAATTTTTCCGTTATTTACCGATCATGACAAAGAGCACTCGGCGGGCGCAATTTTGTATTGTTTATGTTTTTTTGAGCTTGAATACTGTTCGTTATCTCGATATATTTCAATGGAAATTATTCTAGGATTCGTGAACACGTTGCAATATATATTATGTGTTTTTACATTACTAAACATATCTATAAATATATGCGCTTTAAGTGAGATACTCAGGCGAACTTTTGCTATCGCTTTTTTCTGTCGGTTATGTACATCTACAACCTCTCTAGAACCCTGGAACTAATTGCAATAATTTTTGGCATAAAAAGATCTATGAGAGGGGAACAATTACAAGGTGCTTGCACTCCTAGTTCTTGGCTTTGTAATAGTAAATACTGTATAAGATAAATAAAAATGAGACAAATATAGCTTTTGTCTTTGTGTTATTAAATAATTATATACAATTCCATGGATCCTTTACAGAGTTGTATTATACTCACGTGATCACTCAGGCCGTCGTGCCTTTTATTTATTTTAAAAATAGCACGTTTGCATGGCTGTGAATCTTAAAAAAAATCAATAGGAAGAAACTTTCTCATTTATGTGTCCGTTTTAAATATGATTTGCAACTGGAAGGATAAACTCGGAAGAAATAAAATCAAAGTGAAGCTATTGCTTAATGATCATGAAGTGAGAATAATCGTTTTTAGTAAAGTGATTTGATATGATTATGTATCCAGTAAAAATGTTTTCTTCGTCCCTCTCTGATAAAAACTTGACATCATTTTGGTATTTAAAAATCTTTTTGAGGGTTATACAAAAAGTATTTTAGTGTATTTTTAGTGTATTCGAGCAATTCATCATCCTTCCTGTATTTTTGTAGCTGTTTCATTATCATAATACCAAAAACTTCCTGTAGCCTCGATAAGTGCGTATAGATTTCGACTAAATAACAGCAGGAACAAAACAGGTTTGTGAATCATATATTTGATCTGATATTTCATCTTACTCTTGCTAATTAGTTTGATGTTTTAGTCGAAGATACAATTACCATTGAACATTTATCTTTCAAAGTACACTGATTATAAATAACACAGAATTTCCTTCAGGACATGGAAACTACTATGTATGAGTGTATGTGGCTATCACAAGCAAAAGTTGATGCTGTAAAACGTACGTCAGCTGATTATTTGTACATTAAAAATCTTCAGTTATTATGCCCCCGTAGTCAAAGAATCGTGGGAATATAGTTTTTGTCCTGAACGTTCGCCTGTCTGTTTGTCTGTTTGTCCGCAAAAATATTAACCTTGGTCATTACTTTTTAGTAGTTCGGTGGCTTTGGCATTTGTGTTTTACAGGTATATTACTTGTGACAAAACCATTCTTTGGATAACACCAAATTTTGACCTCTTGACCTTAGATTTTGATCCAACGTTTACAAAAAAATTCCTACACTTAAACCTTGGACATAATTTTTGAAAAGTTGGTGCTAGGTCTTTCGTACATAATGTAAATAATATAAATGTATTTATTGTGACAAGGCCTTTCAATCGGTAGAAATATTTTTTACCTTTTGACATTGACCTTACAGTTTTGTCTAGTTAAAAAAATTAAATTTAATCTTGACCATAACTTTTGAACAGATAGTATTAGACTTTCATCGTTCACATGTGTATTCTATCAATAGAAAAACCTTTAAAACTCTTTTAAAAACCCTTATACTGGTCATAACTTTGGACTAAGGCTTTCATCTTTTACAATTTTATTCTATTTGACTAGACCTTCCTCTGGATACCATGACTTTTGACCTTGCTTTTTGGAGTTTGACTTGCATCAGAGAAACTTCAATCCTCACCATTAGCTACCATAATTAGTGTTTCACAGACACATTTTCTTTTTTAATCTGACATTATTCATGCTAGTATTTCAAATTGCTAAAATCACTACGCAAATTTCAATTTAAGTTTGTCTGTTATATTGTAGAGAAAGCCCTCCGGTATCAGAAGGGAAGAGGAAGTTGTGTTCTTTTCATTTTGGACTTTTCTGAGAGCATGAGAGGGGAACCTTTAAGGCAGATGAAGCGGGGAGTCGGGGCGATACTAGAGGGTTGCCAATTAGTTCTGAATATAATATTTGTCTGAGTATCTTTTCTTTATAATACACTGCACTACAATTTTTTGACATTTATAGAGTTTGATGAACAACCAGATCTTGATGAGAATGTTTCTGTGATTGTTTTTGGACAAGAAACCAAATTTCTGCATTATTATTCCAACCAATATTCCACAATAAAACAAAGCATTGGTAAAAACACTGACTTTATTTACTCGTATTCTCTGGATTAAATGTATAGTGCAAAAAATAACAGAGAAAACATTGTGTTTAGAAAAGCGCTTTTTGTCAGAGTCATTGATATCTTACATAGAGATGTACAAGTCATGTACGCAGCTCATTATTTTTATATTTTATTTAAAGAACTGATTAAAAATAAATTTTAGTAAATGGTTTTCCATATGGTGGAGTAAAATTAATTTGTTTTCTCAATAAAAACTATTTTATTTTTCACTTCATTCCAAATGGTGACTTTAATTTGCTATATAATTTAAAGATATTGCATTTTGCTGATTCTTTCAGAGGAGGTGGAATGTGGTGGACCCTCGCCGCTCACTGCCGCCTTTCTCTTGGCCCTTGGGGGACTGTACGAGGGAGCAGGTATGTAGATTTATTATTGTGTAAACAAGAGAAACTGGTTACATGTATATATTTAAATTTTGAATGGCTTAAGGTGGAATATCCCTCTGATAAGAGAGATAACTCTTCTAATAAGAGAGATAACTTTCTTCAGACATTTTGTCATGAAATTCAGTGAGTTGTCACATCAGAGTTTACAAGTTTCATTCATAAGGACAATTTTATAGTCAACTCAATCAAACCTATTCTTTGGTGAAAGTGTTGATATCTAGTTTCTATTACTAGTATATTGATTAATTATTTATAATAGTTTACTTAAAACATTTATACCCAGTTCCTTTAAACAGTGTAAATTGAAAAATCTCTATCTCTTCAAGTATAATTCTTTTAATTGTACAGAAATTTTAGATGCAGTATTGTTTATAAACATTTAATTAATATTTTGTTTCATCAAAAAATATTGTCAAGGGTGATAATGGAACTATAACTCTTGTTTATGGATGCGTGTTATTTTACATGCACAGAAAATAATTTGTTATTCTGATTTAAAAAGCAGCGCTTCAGTATGTTTTCTACTGGGAGTTAGATAGGTATGAGAGTAAATATTATTTTTATATATACCTCATATTTCTAATTTAATTGTGAGATAAAAAACACTTAATCTTTCTATTTACCATATCAAATTTTCTTCACATCATGGTTTGACATATTATTCATTTCTGAAAAAGTAAGCAACGCTTCATACTTCAAACTATTTTCCATTTGAATTTAATGCTATAGTTGTTGCTGAAAATCAATGTCTGGATTTTAAAAAAAGTGTCGTGAAATTTGGAGCAGAGGGATATTGCCCCTTAAAGAGGCTAAGCAAGTCCATAATTCGATTCTATAATTACAGAATACAAGCTAGGGTGTTTGATAATGGTTTTTGCCCTGTACTAATACAAAAAAGTGGGGAGTTAGACATTTTGGTCTGTATAGATGGAGTGGACATTTAAAAAGGATCAACTGTACAGAACAATATATAAATGGACTAAAGTAAAAACTGCATATTATACATTGCGTTTATCTTTTTATTTTTAACTTAATATTGTACTAGTATTAAATTTATCATTGATGCAAGAAAATTTAAAGAAGCCAATGTTCTTAGACCATATATATTCTCCAGATTCCCAGAATATACGATCAAGTGCTACATATGTATCAGATTAGCGTTGAATCTATTCTGATGTCAGACTATTCAAAATGTAAAGATCAACATGTTTCACATGTTAACATTAATTCTTACAGCCCATACAAGTCGCATTGGTGACTTCCATCTCAATCCAAGAGTGGTTCTTTTCACAGACGGTAGACTAACAGACTTTAAGAATTTAGAGGCCACAGAGAATGAAATGGAATTAATGCCAAAGGAACATGTAATCTTACAAAGTTTTCTTTTTCTTTCTAAAGGTTTATCTTATGGTTAAACTTGAATAACATTGCACTTAAAGATAAAATAATAATAATAACATAAAAATAAAAAAAAAAATATTTTTCGTTATTTCTATATGATTAGATTTTAGCACCACTATCTTCAATCACACAACAAATAGGAAGAGACCATCCAATTTTCTGCTTTCCAGTTGGAGAAAACCCAAACTATGTAAGTTTTCCAATATACTACAATTTGATCGTTTTCTTTTGATGAAAGCTTTATCCATCACATGTCTACACCTTTATTCAGTTATTCATTTTTTTTAGCCGGGGAAAGTTTCTCACAGTTAAATTATGTAATTCAGTTACCCTTTTTTTCTTCAAAATTGTTTCTAATGGGGCACAAAGTGAACTGGTACTCTATTTACTCGATGACCTATTCTACTTTCTTGCATGAAATATATGGAGATAACGAACAGTTTTCAAGCTCAAAAGTCCATTTTTATACAATACAAAATAGGAACAGAGCAAACACGAACCTCTGAAACATCAGAGGTGGGATCAGGTGCCATGGAGGAGTGGTCATCCCCTGCCGACCGGTCACACCATAGAAGAAATGACATTTGGAAAAATTTATTAGGAAAATGGTTAACAGATTTTAAAATTCAAAAAAATCAAACAGGCTAATTTCTACCATTTTCGGAGGGAAATATGAAAGTTATTTTTATTATCCTAGTCTAAGGAGAAAAAACTCAAAGTATTATCCATTTTTTCTATTCCTGTGACATGATATGAAGTCTCCTCCAAAGAAAATATTTGTATGTATCACCTGTCCTTTCAAAAAGCAATGAATTTATTTGTTTCTGTTATGGCAATATTCACAGTGATTTTCTAGTCAATTCCTTTCACCAAGTAAACTTTATATGCCTTGTCAAAAAAAAAACCCAGATGAATCATTGTAGGTGCTACCTGTCGACAGAGAATGCCTACTTGTGTAAAGCACATTTGGTTTCGTTCAATATTAAAATCTAGATATCATGGACCTGTTAGCAGACGAGAAAACTAAAACTGTTAAAAAAAGGAATGATTTAGTTTTAAATTAAAACATGTAATAAAAAGTTTATCCAACCGATTTTTTTTTCCTTTGTGAGGCAGTTGAAAGCACATAAATTAAATGCAAACATATATGTTGTTCTCTACATCAAATTCAATTTAATTATTTATTTCAGCCCTTATTACAAACCATATCAGGCGTGTCTCAAGGTGGCAAAGTGTTACAGATTTATGAAGCAAAGTGCTTTGGACGATATACTCTACATTACGTAATTAATTTTTCATCAATTGCTATCTTTATTTTATCCCATAAAATTTCCGATTGTCAACAATTGCAATATTTTTCAGAGATCTGCAGATTTGATATCCAAAGTAATAAACAAGAATGAGATAGAAAGGGAAGCTTTGAGATCTGTGGCAGATAACGTACTTTTCGGGCATACTTACGATGAAGATGATTTAGTATGTTGGATACTCAAAGCATTTTATCAAAAAAGTTTCGTTGGCATTTTGTCCAAATGGAATATCAAGCTGCTGAATGGATTTTTTTTTTTTTAGAAAAATTAAATAATTTCGTTTAATTAAGTTATTTGTCTTAGCATTCATTTGTTTTACATTCCAAATATAATATTCCCTACATCATTCATTTCATTAAAATCTCATATCATACTGTAAACCAACTTTTATTCGCGCGCGAGAAATTTTTGCGATATTTGCGAGAGCCTCATCATCGCGAATATTTCTCGCCGCGAACCAGTCCTTAAATTCCACATGTCTATAAATAAAAGATCCAAAATAGGCTTGATCGCGAAAATAAATCGTCGCGAACTAGTTTACCCCCCGATAAAACACGGAATAAAGTCGTTGCGAATAAAAGTTGGTTTACAGTATCTGTTTTCTTATTTTCACTTTAAAACAAACATAACAGATTCCATTTATAGGAAAAAATTAAAAGAAAAGTAATTCAAATTTCAATCTTATAATCAAAGGACACAATATACGAGTTAATACAGAACAGAGAGAGAATCATGGAGACCCAACCAAGGGTAGAGGACGATGAAAATAATTGGTATAAGGAGAAATACTCTACAATTCCAAGGCTCGGTACGAGAGTTCGCCGGGGTCCACACTGGAGATTCCAGAATCAAGATAGCGAGGGCATCGGAACCATAGTGGGTCATGGGGATAAAGGTAACCAGGCATATGTAAGGAAATGGCTCAAATTCACCCAGTTTACTTAATACAAATATATTTGAGACGGTAAAATTCACAATTTCTTCACGAAATTCATGTATAAATAAATATATAAATGTTGGTCAAACTGGACATCAATTATTGAAAGAGGGAAGGTGACTTCATAAACAGTGGATAAAACAATTATACTGCAAAGTGAAGGTTGTAATAAAAATGTTAAATATACTTTTTTTTTCCCTTTGTAAACAATCTTTACAATGCTGAATATATTGTTGTCGATTTGGTACTGTGCATCGACTTGTTTCTTTTTTACTTTTCTTTTTTTCACAGTTGGTTTAGTGCTCGTAGAATGGGATAATGGGTGTCGTTGTGTATATAAATATGGAATAGGAAATACATACGATATTGTGGTTTGTGATGAGCCCAGAATTCCTGAGGACGGATTTGTCGCTGCTGGGTGCCTTGTAAAGAGGGGTAACACACACCTTAATCATTATTCAATACAGTATCCTGCTACATATAAAGTATTGTAAGTTATGTTAAGATTTCCCTTGTAATCATCAGTTAGTTTTACGCTTTTGTTTTTGATTCTGAAGGACCTGATTGGAAATGGGAAGATCAGGACGGCGGAGAAGAAGCTATCGGAACATGTTATCGAGTGATGGATAATGCCACCGTTTATGTTCGTTCATAATTAAATCATACTTAATTTTTGTGCACGCATAAAAAGGTTTTGTTTTTATGCAGAATTTGAATAAGAACAATTTTACATTCTGTTTCAACATAAAAAGGTTAAATCGTTTTTTTTAAATTAAGAGATATTGGATTTTTATATTTTTATTCCCCCGTAATCGACGGTTTGGTGGTACATGCATTAAGCTTTGCCCTGCCCATCAATCTGTATGTCTATAGCTGTCTGTTTGTCCACAAAACTTGCCAATAACTTTTAATTGAATATAGCTTTCTTATAACACATGTGTTTTTCTTGTGACAAGACCTTTTTAGGTAGCAACATAATTGACTTCTTAACCTTGATCTTAAAGATTGACTTGCTTTTGGAAAAAAGACTTGAACCATGATCATACCAGTTGAACAGTTTATGCTTGGGCTTTCATACTTCACAGTGTATGATGAAAAGGGTACACCCCACTTTTGTTGATAAGAATATTAATTAGAATATGTATATGTACAACTATTACATTTAAGATTCGATGGCCAAGTGGAAGAATGGGTAATTACAGATTTGGATATGATGGAAAATACGACATTGAACTTTGGTAGTTTTTTTTATCGTTTTAATATACATGAATAATTTAAAATTTTTATTGAATTCTCAAAACTTCGTCTGAAGATTAAAAATATATGGATCAAAAATTTTCTTTAAAAAATAAATGTTTGTATCCTGTCATTAAATAAAATGTTTCTACACGTGTATACTAAATACAGGACACTTTATTCTGTATTGTAGCGATCCGCTCTCACAAAAAGTGATGAAAGCTGTTAAGGAACAATGGAGAGCATTAAAGAAACCCGAGTCTGAAAATGATTACAGATGTACATCTAATGATTTAAAAGGTTCTCGTGTATCATTTACTTTTCATATATACACATTTACTTTGTATGAAATGAAGTACAGTGTACATTGATATTTCTTCAGACGTTGCTTCTGATTCATATGTTTTAAAGGAGCTCAGTATTGTTAAATTTGTAATTTGTAGGTAGTTCTGAAATACAGGATACACGAATCAACCTAACTAAACAGAACAGTGGCGTTCAAACAGAAAATACAGGAAATACTACACCGCGGAGTAAAGAAGCAAATCAATTTCAAAGTGCAGTGTTCAGAGAGAAAAGGGATGCTCAAACCCAAAACGGGATTGGACCAACCATGATACAGCGGGAGCAGGTTACGTGTAAGGATAGAACCAATGTTACAGACATACAGACAGAACACTCCTCCATGGCTTTTTCAATGGAAGATCTGGAAACTGATGAAGGACAGGATACCGATCTGGAAAGCAACTCAGTGGGGTCTATCTTTGGATACCCTGAACATACTAGACCTTCAAGTCCAAACGAATATCAGAATTCTTTTTCTGTAAATTTATTTTCGCCTGTGAAAAACTTTGTTGCTGACAAAGGTAAACCTAGAATGAACGCCTTAACTATTACGTCAATTAATAAAAATACTTATAGAAATCCAGAAATATGTGTAACAGGAACAAATGAAAATGCTATTCATATGGAATCAAACGTTGCACAGATTTCGCAAAACCATTCATCAAACAAAAACTCTAAATCTGAACCAAATCTAGTCAGCCAGGATCTATCCTGGCAGTGGCGGGACAACAATGGAGTTTGGGTCAACTATTCCGATCACGTGAACAATTTAATCAACTATAGACTCCGACAACGCCCCATGGCAACTGTCTTAATTAATTATAACGACGAAAGGTGAGCATGTTGTTTTCAATTGATCAAAAAATATTGAAATAGTTTCAATTGTGAAGTAGTTGCTAGAATACTTCCACTTCCACATTAGTGAAACTTACCGTAAATGAGTTGTAGATGCTGTTTATTAATGAAATACTCTGATTTTTACATTATTTTTTATGCATTAGTTTTAGGATTGTAGCATCAAAGATGATACAGATCAACACAAAAACTAAAGAAAAGCACGACATTAGATGCAGGAATACTTCATGCCAGTATTGACACAGATAAGATAATGAGATTTGAAATAAAACAATAAAATCACGGAAACATATCAATATTTTTGTCATTTCACAACATAGCTTTCAAAATTTTGTTATATATGTACATTAACACTGTATACAAGTTAATTGCTCTTTTGAAGCAATATAATAACAAAATTTGATATGGTACATAAACCAACATGTACATGTTATCAAACAATAATTAAAATCTTGATATGCTGATGCATGCTTCTCTGTTATTAAGTTTTATGATAAACGTGATGACTTCAACTTTACCTATTGTTAACTTTCACATTTATTCTGCAATTCGCCATTATCACCTATGTATAATGTTCATGTCAGCCAGTCGCTGAATACATAAGGAAAGTTGGCAATTGAAAAGTTTGAAATATCACGTTTATCATAGAGCTTGCTTGTTAGATTACCATTAACGTCTTTTTTCAAGTAAAATATCCAAATATGAAACAGACATTTCAGAGACTTGGGGGTAACTTTTTTTTCAAGCTCAATGGATATATCGTGTCGACATATGAATGAAAAAATTTAACCATTTTTATTTATAATATCTTAATGTCTAGTTGAATATCAAGCTTTTTAAATCTAAAAAAAACTACCTTTATTTTTGAAGTACTACAAAGATAATATATATTCATATAGACAATTATATTTGTGTTTATTCCGTTCTGGAAAATAAAAACAATTAATTGAATATAATAATTTAAGGATATAGTATTTTAGTCATCTTTGAAGATCCCATTAAAGCGGTTTGAAAATATTTTGCAAAATATATGATTGGATGAAGTCATATTTTTGGTGTCAAAATAAAAAAAATAGAAAGTTTGATTCTCACTGATAATTTTTCTGACTTATAAGGATAATCTAATTATAGCTTAATTTTCTGGATTCATTAAGAAATCGCCCTCTATTCTAATTTTTCAATGCTACATGACCTGCAGTAATACTGCAATAAAAAATAAGCAACACATTTGTGAAGAATAAATGCAAGATACAAATACAAATGAAATTATAAAAAATATGAATTTAAATTGTTCAATAAAAATGGAAAATCATAAATGGAAGTGAAAAAAATAGAATATTGCAACGTTTGGGATGCCGCAATTCGATTGTGACAACATTTATTTTTCAGCAGAGTGAATCGAATGTGCTTTACAAATCAATGTTATTTAAGTTTATGTAATCTCAGATCTGATTTCCCTAACTGTGGGTGACCAAATAATAGGATTATCGAATACGTTTTATTTAATTGTTAAGAAAGATTACATATAAGTACACATGTATTAATTTCTTTGATTTAAATACGGACAATAAATTCATACTGAAATTAAAAATGAAACAATGTCCATAAGAGGTACATACATCTAGAAGTTCATATTTGTCTTTTGTGTGGAGGATTCTCCTCAGACCGTGGTTCATACAATGCAGAGGCCGGACAATAAGGTTTGTTTGTCAGTATTTATCTATTATATGTTGGAAGTAAAATTGAAAGCATTTACATATATTCGTTGATGATTTCAAAGGAATAATTTCGTATTGATACATCTGAATGTACCAGTTTTATATTTCTGGATGGTATTGATATTTATAATTTGAATAACTGTGTTGTCATTTTAACCATGAACTTAAAGAGCGTATTGTTTTGTAGAGTGACCTTTTGTAGAGTTTTTTGGGTTATAAATAATTTTCATAGTTGCTTGACATGTAGAGCAAGGCCGAAACACTATTTCGATTGTGTGTTTTCTTCCATTAAGAAATTTGTGAATAAGCTAAGTAAATTTTGTAATTAAAAAAAAATTTAAACAAATCAAGCATATATTAAAGTTTGAGTACATGAAGTTTGTTTTTGTTTGAGACTTATTATAATAATCTGGTAATAATGCACAATAATTATCTTACCTTTTCGAAAAAATTTAGATCTATGTCAAGGAAGCTGTAAATGCAGATATTAGAAATATTTATCTCAAAGTTTCCATTCTGAAAATCCTGGAAATTGACACGCTGAAGGAAACATTTACAGCGGATGTGTTTTACCAGGCAAGGTGGAGAGAGCCTAAACTTGACGGACACAAGGTATAGTAACTACTACTTCTTACTTACTAGTACTTCTTAGTTGCTTATATCTGTGAAACATAAAAGGGAAGATGCTTAATTATTGTTTAACTGCACAAACCGGCAGATTATTCTATAGGTGACTTTTATTTTAATTCCAAAGTCCTTGCATCTCCTATGACTAGTATTGCTTCATCCTATTGAAGAGCTTTATATGCGGATTGGTATCGTCATGCAACTGATATAATTCGTCTTGGTCTAAGCAATTGACTGAAAAATATTGAATTCTTTGTTCTTTTCCAACCACTTCTAAAATACCAAAAAATATGGAACGCCGTCACTGCCTTATAGCAGAACACAACAATTGCACTGCGTCAACCTTCAATTACATTATGTCAACTCCATATGACAGTTACTCACACAACTATTACATTGTGTTAACCTTCTATTACATTATGTCAACTCTACATGATATTAACTCATACTACTATAGCATTGTGTGAACTTTCCTTTACACTATGTCAACTCTTTATGACATTTGCTCACACTACTATTGCATTGTGTGAACTTTCCTATACATAATGTCAACTCCATATGACAGTTACTCACACTACTATTACATTGTGTCAACCTTCGGTTTCATTATGTCAACTCTTTATGACATTTACTCCCACTATTATTTTATTGTGTCAACCCTCCATTACATTATGTCAACTCTTTATGACATTTACTCACACCACTTTTGCGTTGTGTCAACCTTCCATTATATTATATCAACTCTTTATGACATTAACCCACACTACTACTGCATTGTGTCAACCTTCCATTATATTGTGTCGATTCTTTATGATATTATCCCACACTACTATTGCATCGTGTAAACATTCCTTTACATTATGTCAACACTTTATGACATTTACACATTCTTGCATTTCGTTATGTTTACTGTCACAATTACATTATGTTAACCTATCATTACATTATGTCAATTCTTTATGATATTAACTCACACTACTACATTATGTCGATTCACTATTACGTTATGCGAACACGGGTATCCTCGGCCTTTATATGAGCATACCGTATTTTCCGCAATCGGCAATCCTCGACTGACTCCGCTACGCTCCATTCAAACGTTATGTGCGAGGTACGAGTCATCCGAGAATTCCGATTGTATTTTCCGCGTTCCGAGAGCACTAAAATTGGCGGGAGAGAAAATTGCCGTAGAAGAAATCTCAGCGATTTGGGAATGGCATCTTTAAATAAAAATTTTAAGCGACAAAGGATTGACAATCTTGAAACGTGCAAAGCCTTAACACTGCGACTGTGAATTAAAGTCACGTCGAAATTCAATGGCGTTTACTTTAATCTGATAATTAAATAAATCAAATATTATGAGTCGTGCAGCAATTTTTTTTTCTTTTTATTTTGAATTGTTGTTTGTTTATTTGTTTTTTGTTTTGTTTTTTTTGGATAAAAGTCTTAAACTTCTGATCTTACTAAGAACATTGTCATAATTTTTTTTTATCAGTCTTGAACTTTCCTTTTTTTTTAAAAGTGTAAACACATCGTATAACACACGTACACTGGTGGGTTGGGGGGAGGGTGAAATCCCGCCCTACCATCTTTAGTGACCAAAATCTACATGTACAAAAAATTAATAAATTTATTGGTTTTACTTTGTAGGACATTGCATTAGTTTCACATTAAGTTTAGCTGAATTAAGTTGAAAACTTTTTTTTTTTATAAAACTATAAAGCCTGAGAGCTTCTCTGCTTTCCCCCTTGGTCTCCAACCATAAAGCGTCCCCCTTCAGGCTTGGACAATTTTTTTTTGTTCAAGATTCTCATATCCGCTACTGATATGTGTTCATGCATGCTTACTAAGGCATATTCAATTGATTTACATGAGGGATTGGTAGATTTTTTGTAATAGAATTCTGGCCCTGGGATAGTTGAAAAAATTACTAATTCCAGTGCGTGACGTATCATCTTTTTCGAAAGGAGGGGGGGGGGGGGTTAGCCAGAAAAAAAATATTCGCCCGAAAAAAAACTTGAGAAGCCAAAAAAAAATAATTGTCTACTCCAAGCCCGAAAATCCTATTTCGGGGAGGGGGGTCCAACTTCGATCAGTCCAAATTTTTTTGTCAGATATATTACATTACCGTCAGTGGACTATAATTCAACAAAAAGTGGGGGTGGGGGCTGTACTTTCAATGAACATTACATTTTCTATTGTAAAGTTATGTTTGGGAAAAGAGGGGGGTTGATATTTTGTGCCTCTAATTCTTCCGTATCAATCAGGACCCCCCCCCTCTTACCAGTCATAAAAACACGGTCGTCAACATTCATTTTATACCAGATATACAGCTTTGGGATAATGTAAATGTATTTTTACATCAGGTAATGCACTTTTGGAATCAACATGATAAAGAGTTAACACAATATAAAGATATTTTAAGATCACATAAGAAAGGGTTGACATAACGTTATTATATATCCACATCACGGAATTGGGTTTTGACATAATGTGATAAAGTGTTGATATAATATGAAGATATGTTCACATAATGTCATACACTTTTTACACCACGTAATAAAGCACTGACATAAAGGTAAGATGTGTTCACCTCACATCATGATGCTCTCGCCGTAAAATAAAGATAAACCCATATCATGTAATAATGCTTTGATATAATAAAAATATACACTCTCGAAAAGGAATGGATTTTTGACTTCATGTAATGATAAGTTTGATTATAAAACACAATTCACTTGACGTAATGCAATTTTGACCTCTCATATTAAAGAAATGAAATGATGTAAAGAAACATTCATTTCACGTAATAAAGTTTTAACACAATGTAAACACATTATCGCTTCACATAATGAATTTTCGACTTCAAGTTATGAAGTGCTGACATAATGAAAGGATGTATTTACTTCATATAATGCAGCATTGACATGATGTAAAGATATTTTTACATAATCTCATAAAGAATTGACATAACGTAAAGATATGTTCACATCACGTAATGATAAATTGACATAATAAATGCATAGTTGTATGCTATAAGGCAGTGTTGGCGTTCCATAAAAAAACACTAATTTCTTTCTCAAGGGAAGTGGCGAGATTGACTGGTCTGCATACTGGAATCCAAAAATATTAATTCTAAACGCCATTGCTCAAAAAGACCATGCCAAGTGGTACGTTTTACAGACAGATGAATCGGGAGATACTCATATCGTGGAGAAAAATCGTCTGGTGGCAACCTTCACTGAAAGTATGGAACTGGTCCTTTTTCCATTCGACATACAGGTAAGGATCTTCATACGGTATCCCACAAGATGTCACAAATAATTATTTTTGTTTTGACGCAAGACTTTCGAGTCGTTTATTTGATGTGGTATTTTCTTAATCCGACAGGATCTTAACATCTTTATAACCACGGAACTCTCGGAAGAGGAGGTCAAGTTTTTAGAAGACGATCGTGAAATATCAAGCGTTCACGCTGAGACATTTGCAAAAAAACAAGAATGGAACATTTACGAGTTTGTTCATTTTACTCCAAAGGCATTGACTCAGGAATATGCCAACAACAAGTATAAAAAGCCGGGAATGTACGTTTTCTGCAGCGCCGGAAGGAAGCCCGGATTCTTCGTGTGGAACGTAATTGTGCTCATGGTAGGAGGGGTAAAATCCTCTGACTCTGGTGACGTTAGCTGCAGCTTGGAGTGGTAAAGGAGATAATATTTGTTCTTTCTATTTCAGTCTATCATCAGTTCCCTGGCTCTGTCCACGTTTGCTGTGGCTAGGAGTAAGATCGAGAATCGTCTACAGCTATCCATTATGCTTGTCCTCATCACAGTCACCTTTAAATTCGTAACCAACCAAGTTATCCCAAAAATATCCTACACCACTCATCTGGTAAGTGCTGTAACCGGTGTATGCATCTTAAAATTTAAACAATGTATTTTAAAACCTTTATCTATGGTAAAGAAACTTGTGTATAGTCTTTTATCTTATCTTTAAATTACGGTCTAGATTTTTGGTATTTTAGTGCATTGTTGTAAGTTAATCTCATGACTTATATAATTATAAATTTGAACTTTTACCATGAGTTCTACCAATTGTCGTGGGTTTTCAAGTGAATTGCAGTTGTACGAGATGACGTCTTACCGGGTGTATCAGTGTAAAATGGAATATTACATACTGCAAATGAACCCAGTCTAATTGTTTGTTAATTATCTTAAATCTTGTATCCTTCAAACTATTTCTATTCGAAGTTTTTAAGAATATTGACATATGGGCTTCAAGTCAGAAACCAGTAGGATCTTCATGATACTTCGAAGGAAAATCCCATCGGATATTCTCATATGGACTTTACCTCAAGCCATTTACCCCTGAAATACTCCCATGGAAGATAATCATTGAAGCACATTTAAGCCAATACATATAATTTCTAGGATCGCTACATTATTTGCAGTACAATTGTCCTGTGACATATATTTATTTAATGTTTCTAGGATCGGTACATCGTCGGCAGTACAACTTTCCTGTTTCTGTCACATATTTATCTATAATTTGTAGGATCGGTACATCATCGGCAGTATGGTTCTCCTTTGACCTATATTTATTTAATGTTTCTAGGATCGATACATTATCGGCAGTACGATATTCCTGTACCTGGTGGCGATGTGGCACGCTATATCGGAGGCCCTGATCTCGGACGACGACACACTCAGTGAGGCTGATCAGTACGCCTTCTATGCCTTCTGTGGTCTGTACGCCTTCATCCAGTTCATGTTCATGATCATTGTCCTTCTCAGTGTAAGTTAACTGACCAATAAGAAAAAATCAAATAAATGATGTATTTATTATATCACTTGCATAATCTTTATTTCTTAAATGAACTGAAAAAAAAGTTTGAAGCAGCAAGATATTAATACTTTTTTAAAGATAAGGCTTAAGTTTGTTTCTCTGAATTGTCATGACGATTCATCACAGACAAATTGATTGGATAACTTTTTTTCTCTTTCAGGGTTCAACCAGGCGATATGATGTAAACAATAACCTTAAGCAGTACAATGTATGTTGTAAATTCAATTTAGTAGACTTTTAGAGTCATGTGAATTCGAGATAATATTCGGGTTCTTTATTCAATTGAAAAATTTATCACGGTATAATCCAGCATAGAATTATTTTTTCTCCACTGAAATTTGAATCACCACCAGCACCAACTTCTGTTTTCCATATAATTCGTCATGTATTGTTCTGTTTCAGAGGAAGCGTCTTGACGTCATGAAAAGAGGCGAAATTATAAAGACTTCAAAGACCGAGACATTGTTTAAGAAAGCAACCGAGGAATGTCTGGTGGTATCCCCCTAAAAAGTGACTGGTGGTATCCACTTAATACATTCAATACATTGACCGGTGTCCGTCTAATAAAATGGCTGGTGGTGTTCACCCAATACAATGACTGGTGGTGTTCACGTAATAAAGTGATGGTTGGTGTTCACCTTATACAATAACTGGCGCTGACCATTAAATGACTGGTGGTGTCCACCTAATAGAATAAGTAGTGGTGTCAACGTATACAATAACTAGTGGTGTAAACAATGTGAGCTGCAAATTTGATGTCGGAATTTTTTATTGCAAAATTGCAGATTACTATTTCAATGAAAGAAAAAAAAAACATTTATAAACTTCTGTTGTTCATAGTTGCTATGAAAGAACTATTTATAAGCTTCTATTGAATCCAAATAACATTATTGTCGTCCTGTACAATTATGATTTCTTATATAAAACTTATATTGGATTGTATATAAAAGGCTTTCCTCTGCTTTATTTTAGTGTAATTGATCATAGAGGTTTAAGTTACATACAAATTTCTCATAATAACACATTTTAACAGAAAAATAAAATTTTCAAAAATGCAGCTCATATTGCTTTAATTATTTGTTTTTACACTTGCGCTTTTATTCGATTTTTCTGAAATTGTTAAAATGGATAAATCTATATAATTATTTAATTACTACTTTGTGAATTCAAAGAAATGTACATGTTTGTGAACATTTTCAATTATTACTTAACTGTTGACTCAACTGTTGATGTTTGGAAACAGAATTTGAAATGCATGTTCCTTAACATTCTTAGCCTTGATTGTATGTTGGTTGTTTTACCTCCCATTCCAGAATTTTTAGCTCACCTGAGCCGAAGGCTCAAGTGAGTTTTTCTGATCACATTTTGTCCGTCGTCCGTCCGTCTGTCCGTCTGTCTGTAAACTTTTCACATTTTCGACTTCTTCTCAAGAACCACCGGGCCAATTTTAACCAAACTTAATACAAAGTATCCTTGGGTAAAAGAGAGTTTGAATTGTTAAAATGAAGGGCCAAGTCCCCAAACAAGGGGAGGTAATCAAGAAAAGACAAAAATAGGGTGGGGTCACTAAAAAATCTTCTTCTCAGGAACTACTGGGCCAAATAAACTGAAACTTATGTGGAAGCATTCTTGGGTAGTGTAGATATTAAATTGTAAAAATCATGACCCCCGGGGGTAGGGCGGGGCCACAATAGGGAATCCATGTTTTACATAGAAATATATAGAACAAATCTTTAAAAATCTTCTTCTCAAGAACCAGTGGGCCAGGAAAGCTGAAACTTATGTAGAAGCATTCTTGGGTAGTGTAGATATTAAATTGTTAAAATCATGACCCCCGGGGGTAGGGCGGGGCCACAATAGGGAATCCAAGTTTTACATAGAAATATATAGAACAAATCTTTAAACATCTTCTTCTCAAGAACCACTGGGCCAGGAAAGCTGAAACTTTCATGGAAGCATCCTTGGGTAGTGTAGATATTAAATTGTTAATATCATGACCCCCGGGGTTAGGGCATGGCTACAATAGGGAATCCACGTTTTACATAGAAATATGAAGAACAAATCTTTAAAAATCTTCTTCTCAAGAACTAGAGGGCCAGGAAAGCTGAAACTTATGTGGAAGCATTCTTGGGTAGTGTAGATATTAAATTGTTAAATTCATGACCCCTGGGGGTTGGGCGGTGCCACAATAGGGAATCCAAGTTTTACATAGAAATATATAGAACAAATCTTTAAAAATCTTCTTCTCAAGAACCACTGGGCCTGGAAATCTGAAACTTATATTTAAGCATCCTTGGGTAGTGTAGATATTAATTTGTCAAAATCATGACCCCGAGGGTTTGGATAGGGCCACAATAGGGAATCCACGTTTTACACAGAAAGATATAGAACAAATCTTTAAAAATCTTCTTCTCAAGAACCAGTGGGCCAGGAAAGCTGAAACTTATATGGAAGCATCCTTGGGTAGTGTAGATATTAAATTGTTAAAATCATGACCCCCGTGTGTAGGGCGGGGCCACAATAGGGAATTCCACGTTTTACATAGAAATATATAGAACAAATCTTTAAAAATCTTCTTCTCAAGAACCAGTGGGCCAGGAAAGCTGAAACTTATGTGGAAGCATCCTTGGGTAGTGTAGATATTAAATTGTTAAAAACATGACCCCCGGGGGTAGGGCGGAGCCACAATAGGGAATCCAAGTTTAACATAGAATTATATAGAACAAATCTTTAAAAATCTTCTTCTCAAGAACCACTGGGCCAAGAAAGCTGAAACTTATGTGGAAGCATCCTTGGGTAATGTAGATATTAAATTATTAAAATTATGACCCCCGGGGGTAGGGTGGGGCCACAATAGGGAATTCCAAGTTTTACATAGAAATATATAGAACAAATCTTTAAAATCTTCTTCTCACGAACCACTGGGTCAGGAAAGCTGAAACTTATGTGGAAGCATCCTAGGGTAGTGTAGATTCTAAAGTTTTAAAATTATAAAAGGGAAGGGAGTAGTGGGGCATGATAGGACTATAGCAAGAGGGGGAATCTGGTAAAGAACTGCATCAACCAAGTTACTCAGGTGAGCGATGTGGCCCATGGGCCTCTTGTTCATTCATATTAGAGACGTAACCATTATACTGGTGAAGGACTGCAAATTTTGACCTTTATTCAGCACTTAGGACCATGGAGCAGTGAAGGATCGTTATCCTGACAACGCCTGTTGTGAAACGGAGACTCGGTTTTTGTCTTGTCCAAATAATGAACAACTTTTACTTCAAAAGTCGAGCGCATGGCGAAGGAATAGTTGCTACCCATTTCTTTTCGACTTAAGTCAGCGGCGGCCGAGATTCGAACGCACGACCTCCCGATCACAAAGCGAGTGCTATACCGACTGAACTAGTCTACTGTGAACGGCTCTTTGCCTTGATGCTATTATATTTAAATCAATTAATATTTATGATAGAGATATTGAATATTTGAGTAAATAAAATACTTACCCGGGTCTAAGTTAGTGGCCTGGTGATCTGTCTCAGTCAGGTGACCATTAACTTCCTGTTCCTCCTCTCTCCGTCTGGCAATGAGTGCATTTAAACTTAGAGCTTATTCACTGAAACATTCGAACCAAACCTTAATGTTGGTTATATATGGACCTTTCTTCCTGTAAGTCTGGACAAACAAGTGAAATTCAAAACTTAAAGATGGTATGCTTTACCGATAAGCATTGTCAATATATGTACTAAGGTGTAATTATTTGCTATGAGTAC